GACATTTTTATCACAAACATGTATCAGTATCATATGTTTAAGAAATTGTACATATTTGCGAACAAATAGTTCAGAAGACAACAGAATCGTCGATTTAATTCCTCACTTAAAAGTTACAAAAACGCATTTTTTGGTATGAAATGACAAAAACACAAACCCTCCAGCTTGAAAAAGGTCTCAGATTCATCGCTAAAACGCTGCAAGACCAATCCAAATGGACAAGAACAGACTTAACCTTAGGAATGCTTGGTCTAAACAACATTGAATCAATGATAGATAGTAAAAAATTACTCTTTTTAGGACACCTTATACATCTGAAGCACACTCATTTGGCGAAACGTGTGTTTCTTACCAGACTACATTTAAATGAGACGTCCCCTTCCCAGAAGGGGTTTATTCCTGATATTCACAGAATATTAAATAAATACAGTCTAGTTTCATTACGCGAATACTTAGTTAGTGGGTATTTTCCGCCACAAAGAATTTGGAAAAACATTGTAAAACATACAATAAATTCAGTACAAAACTCCGAATGGCAAGATAGAACTTCTAATGATGTTAGTTTTAGTCGACTGAGACAAATACAAGATTCAATAGAACCGTGTCCACTTTGGAAACACTCAAAGGTCGTCCCTGGTCTGCTAAAGTTTGCCACCGTAGCCTCAAAACGTAATGATGAAAACCTGTGTGAGCACTGTGGCGTGCTAACTCCGGATTCGGTTTCACATGGACTGTTGGATTGTTCCAAAACTGAAGATGCTCGCAATGAAATGCTACACAACTTAAGCGATGTCTTGAACCTTAACAGAATTGGGCTTAAGATAGAGTCGTTCAAAAAGGATTTTCGAGAAAACCCCTTTTGTGTGTCAGTGAAAGGCCTCTCCAGCTTATATTTTACAGACAATTCAAAAGTCTTGGCAATTCTCCTACCTTTCTTGTGTACTGTTGTAGAACTTTTAAATATTGATCTTACCACTCCATTTTAGAGTGATGCAAATATTTTTTAGAAATGTGACTTACCACCACTGTTTGTGATTTTTTAATATATACTTTATTACTTGTCATTGACATTTTAGATGTGGATTGTTCTTGTTGTTTTGTGTGTTTTTTGTTATTGTCTTAAATTTTTAGATGTGTTTTTATGTCGTTGTTTTTGGTTAATTTTCACTGTTGTGTTAAATGTTTAAAGTTTTGTACTCCATGCTAAATGGGAAATAAAGACATATATATATATATAAATCAACGATTCTGTTGTCTTCTGAGTACCTAATAATTAGATAACGTGATTCAGTTTAATCGGGCACTCCCAAATTGGTTATAGCAGGGGGAAGAAGGAGGTATGCATTCTGTACACCTGCTTAGGAGGATGACAAGTGGGGGGAGAGTTTGTGGGATATGGCATCTGTCAGGTGCATTGTTCTGCATGCATGAACCTACCAGTATGCGCTAAATGGTCAGGGTGGATTGGCTCCCAGAGTGCAACACCGATATTCTGTCCAATATATGGGCATGTGGTGATACGTGCGAACCCCCTGTAAAAATTCTCAAAAGTTCATAAATTAAATTTGGTATGATTTAACCCATCATGAGAAATCGTGGCCTTCATATTTCTCATTGAAGGCAGAAACATGTGATGAGTATCAGAATGGATTTAACCATTTACTGTGTTCATGTAGACCTACGTAGCATAGTAGTCACATTCAAATCTAAAACAAGAGCGGGATGTCTAGGAGAAAAATTGTTTCATCAGAATATCAATACAAAGTATTTGCCCATTTAATTTGATTCTTGATAATAGTTTTTTTCTGAAAAGTTACTCATTCTCAATGAAGCAACGATGTATCTTTTAGAATCAATATTTTATAATGAAGTGTATTCTTAGAATTTAAATCTTAAATAAAATAGGATTAGTGTCAGAATGAAAAAGATTACATTACAATTTAATAAATGAGAAAAGTAGAAACGGTATACTCTTTTATGATCAATGAATTTTGGCTCATCAGGACAAACTAGTGACAAAAATTAATGCCAACTTTACATTAAAAGATAATCTTGCAACATTAACAAGACAAAATGCCACAAAGGTTATCGCAAATAAATGAATAGATAGAATTCAACCATTTACGGTGTTCATATGTAGCGTATTAGACCTGTTCGTATCTATAACAAGAGCAGGGTGTCTAGGAGCAAAATTTTTTCTTCAGAATATTACAGTAATACTAATTGGCCATTTAATTCAAGTCTGAATGATGATAATTCTGAAAAGATACGAATTCACAATAATGGAACGGGGTATCTTTTGGAATCAATATTCTATAATGAAGTCTATTTTTAAAATTTAAATCTTAAGCAAAATAAGATTAGTGTCGGAATGAACGGGATTACATATTACAATTAAAAAAAGAAAGGAAGGAACATTAAATAATTTTAGTTGAATAAAGTAGAATATAAGATTTTATAAACAAAGTTGTTTAAAACTGAATGTGTAATTTCAACTCTATCTGCTATTACATGTTAAAGGTTATGGTTTTGGAAATATTTTGAAGTTATGAAATACTTGTTACACGTCGCACGAAACTGGGGACAATTAGCGTAACATTATGGCGTCAAAAAACAAAACAAAACAATGAGCAGTATAGGGCGCAAACAGCCTTACAACGTCAAAAACGACAAGCGTCACATTTTTTACAAGTTTAGTCAACCTAAAAATAAATTACTTTATCCTTATCTAATCATTACAAAATTTACAGGGTAGCAAGATCTCGAGGACAATATTTCTAAAATGTTTTTGAATTTTGAAAAACGGTCAAGCAATCCACTTGGGGCGTTAGTAAAAATTGATATGTATGGAATTTGTGGTAAAAAATCGATGTGTCACATTTTTTCAAGTCTCGAAAACCAGCTCTTATTTTGATATTATTTGCAAAATAAACAAACCGGTTAATGTTTTGTAAATTTCGCCATGACAATATTGTGCAGTTAAATTTTTTTTCAAATCAGACCTAAATTAGAAGGTTAAATGAAGGTAAACGAATTGCTCGTCCCATTCGCCTTCAAAACCTTACACAATTTTGAAAATTTTAAAAGCGTTCGTATAAGATAATTTGAAATGTAGCCGTTAAGCAATTGTGACGTCATAAATGCAAATGTTCCATTGAATAAATTGTAAAATTTAAGTGGGATTTTGATCATTATTTCAAAAGTTATCTCAATTTCAACGAGCACTGTAAGCGTAAAGTGTTACGTCGTCTTACAGCGTATTTGACGATGTCGGGGTATATTTAACTTTAAAAATGTGTTGGATCCCATCAAAATTTTGCAGGAAAAATAATTTCATTGAAATGCGAATAAGAAATACTTCAAAATGATATATAAAACACATAGTTGGCTTTTTAAATAAGGCAGAGATTAACGTTCAAAGGTGAGATAAGCCCGCATTTCCCGAATTGTCCCCAGGTCCGTGCACGTCATATGTATATGTTTAGGTTCAATTATAGCAGGTGACAATGGATTAATAAAACTACCTTTTGAAGTAAGTGTAAAATATAAGCTTGCATTTGCGAATGCAACTCACAGCTAGCGACTACCGGATTAACCTACTATTTTATGACCAGTTCATTTAAATATGAATGGAATAGTGGCAGGTACTATTCATATTTAAATGAGTTGCCCATAAAATAGTAGGTTAATCCGGTAGCCGATGGCGTTAGTTGCATTTGCGAATACAAGCTAAGACTGATATCATAGTGTACTATATTGCACAAAAAATCAAATTGAGTTAATGTAAAAAAGGAATTAAAATTTATATGTTAATTAGTAAGCTAATTAATATGCATAAAACACAGTTGTTGTACATTTCTTTTACCCCTATACTCATAATTGAAATACTAGATCGTATTTATTCTACTCTAATTTAGGGTTATGTTATTCAAGTGAAATAAACTCCACTTGTAACACATTTATATTCTTAACTTTACAATGATACCAAATCTATGTTCTATACATTACAAAGCGTTGCGCTTTTAATTAACATGACACTCATTAGATATATTGGCCATTTAATTCAAGTCTGAATGATAGTTTTTTTCTGAAAAGATACGAATTCACAATAATGGAACGGGGTATCTTTTGGAATCAATATTCTATAATGAAGTGTATTTTTAAAATTTAAATCTTAAATAAAATAAGATTAGTGTCGGAATGAACTGGATTACATATTACAATTAAAAAAAGAAAGGAAGGAACATTAAATAATTTTAGTTGAATAAAGTAGAATATAAGATTTTATAAACAAAGTTGTTTAGAACTGATAAAAGGGATATTTAACTCCATTTAAAAACATGAAAACTACCAAATGTGCCACACCCCCTTTCAGAAATATTACATAATTTTAAAAAGACAAAGGAAAAAAATGCTCAACCTACCACAACTGTATCTTGTTGCTTTTTGGCCAGGACATGTCTAACTATCAAAAAATGTAATGTATATACTCCAAAACAAGGTTCAGTGATAAATCCTTTGTTTTCATCTAGACTAGAGATATTTTACGCAAACATGTACCTTTTCCAAATTATATGATACTGATACACGTTTGTGAGAAAAAAATGTCGTGGGGATTCTGCCTACAATGCCTGAAATAAGTAAAAAAGTAAAATCGTACCTTCGACATTCCGACATTTTATTACGAACCGTTTCGGTAACCAGCGTAATCGAGCGTATCACCAGTGATTGAATCAGTCGTATTGATTACATGATCAAGTTAAGCTAAAATCAGTTTTAGTCAGCAATCCACGATGCGTCACATGAAAGCTAAAGAGAGCGTACACAAAGTTATCATATTTATTTTAGGTGCTTCTCTGGTATACGTCTATATATTTAACAGTATTTGTGGAGATGGTTACAAAAAGAAAATACCTATGGATGACCAAAATACCCATTTTCAAAAACTGTATTTCAACAAATACAATTACACTAGTGTGATACAGCGGAGAAAACAAACCATGCTGGAAAGCTGTGCTAGAAACACAGCAAAATATGCTGATGAAACCATGCACAAGCAGAACATATATCGGAACCTACTAGTGAATGAACGATATAAATTTCTCATTTGTCCGATTCCAAAAATTGGGAGTAGCTTTTTGAAAACAATATTCAAGATATTACATCTTAATTTAACCAAGACGGATCCAACTACTTTGGTTGGAAAGGGCGACATACACAGCGAACCATTTCCAAAATTACTGGACTTTGACACAACTGAACAAAAGAAAATATTGAGCACATATACAAAAGTTATGTTTACTCGAGATCCATTGAGTAGAATCTTCTCGGCTTATCAGGACAAACTTGTCTCCACAAATCTTATATATTGGGGTAGTGGAAAGGGAATTATAAAAGCATATCGTCACAACCCAAGTAGTAAATCGTTGTCCTGTGGACACGACACGAGATTTGAGGAGTTCCTCGATTTCTTGATACACTTTTCTGAAAATCATAACAGCGACAAGATGGATATTCATTGGAAACCAGTACATCTTCAATGTGATCCCTGTATGATCCAATATGATATCATTGGAAAACTGGAATCATTTTATGATGATATGACCGAAACGCTGCGCACAATTGGCGCACAGGACAAAATATACCTTCCAAAAGTTGACTCACTTAGTTTGGCCATTCGTAAAGGTATGATGACTCACGAAATTAAGTATTCCTTTTCTCAGTTAAACGAATTGAATAAGTTAGGCTGCATATCCGAGAAAGAGTTTCCTCTAAGAGTTGTACAAGACTTTGTAAGCCACGGTTACATTGGACAATTGGGTGAAAAAGAACGACTAGAGTTGTCAAAGATAGCGTCTGGACCGACCAATGCAACATATTTGACAAAATGGATATTTAAGCAAATGGAGAAAAGCGATAGCAGTTACTTGCGGAACTTGCCAAAAGAGACAGAGAAAGCAGCTTATAAGAATCTTGCAAAGGACATGTTGTTGAGACTTAAAGTGGCCTACCTCCACGATTTTACACTATTTGGATATGACTTCTAAGGCATCGTTATGAAACTTGGCCAGTTATACGGAAATATGTAATAAATATTCACAAATAAGCTATAGGTGTACATTACCACTTTGTGACCAATCAGAAAGCAGTATACCAACTACTCTGCATTCGTTCGACTTCGCTTCTTGAATGAGAGTTTCGTTCTAACTAGACTCTGCACGCAGGGTATATTCCAACGGTGAACGGTAACAATGATTTAAGCCCAGGACTCAGACTTATTTAAGGATTTAAGGAGGGGGTGTATAGAGATATTGTATATCGTATAAGAGGGTGAAAAGTTATTGTATATTATATAAGAGGGGGCAAATTTTATTGTATATGGTATAAGAGGTGTAAAAATATGGTATATGGATGGTATAACAGAAAATATATGGCATATGGTATCTCAAGGCACAGGAAGGTTAATTATATGTTTAAAAAAGAATAAGTGCCCTCGGAAGGCTAATTATAAAGAAATTGTGCCCTAAAAATCTCCATTGTGTTGATACTCTTTTACTGTGATAATGTTGATAAAGATGGAAGAGTAGTCTCTTTTAATGGTTCCACATTCCATGTCGATAAGTTTTGAGAAAATCACTCGCAAAGGTTTTTACTATTTTCATTTCATTTTCATTCAAATTTTCACAGGACTTGTTAAATACAGTGTCGAATAAGAATGCCAAATGTCATTGACTCTTCTCAACTTTGATGAAAAATATGGTCACTATAGCTACTTGTGTTTCGGGGTATGTGGGATAAATCATTACTTAAATATTGTAGTATAAAGAGTTCATATAGCGCATCTTTTAATTCAAGCATCATTAGATATTCTTATATTGCAAAAGGTTTTTATTTAGTCTTAAAACTAATCAAAGAAAGGACCACGAAAGGTATCGCAACTGATTTCAAACTGTCATGTTGGATTCAGCTATCGATTGGGGATTTGAACAGGTGCATATGTTATGCCAATGCATTAACTCCAAATCAAGCACTCATAAAATGATTTGGACAGGGAAGGTGTAAACACCCCATAAACGTTCTTCTGAAATGTTGCCCTTTTCACACATGTTTTTTCAATATTTGGTGCATCAATGTGTTGCATTTGGAGACATAGTCAACCTAGTTATTTAAAGGAGACATGATTCATTTGGATAAAGTGGAAAACAATATTCCTTATGTTATTTTCACATAGGGAAAACTCATGTGATATATTGTTTTCAGCTTAATTTTAGTCACCCAAAATTGATATCTTTAAAACCCCAGCATGAATCATATGTTCCTTTAAAGATGTTAATCGTGTCTAAAAACACAACTTGTTAATGCAACAAATATTGAAAAACAGATGTTTAAAGGACTGGAAATCAGGACAATATTACAGAAAAACATGTTGTTTAGGTGTTTGCACCCTCCCTGTCTTCCAGTCCAAATTATTTTATCATCTCTTTGGCTGCTTGTCCTTGAGTTAATGATGGCCTAACACATCATCTGTTAAAATCCTCAGAAAATAGCCAAAATCCAACAGACTGAAATCTGTTGCAATACCGTCCGTGGTCCTTTAAAAGAAAGTTAATTCGAGTTACATAGAGCAGTTTTCATTCTCATCAACACATCTTTGCCTTGAAATCATTCGTGAAACAAGTGATTTGACCTTTATGGAAATTTGCTTAAATTTGACACACTTTTGTTTGACTAATACTGTTTTAAGGCTGCTTTATCTGAAACCCCGAAGTGTCTCTGTTTCAAATGATCAAAATCGAGTCTCATCTTGCCTTTATTTCAAACTCTAGTCCAGACTCAAGTCCAACCAAAAATGCATTATCTACATGGAAGTTTGTGAAGTCTTTTAATAATTGTTTCCGAAACTGTTTTCAATACTTAATATTTTCCAAAATTATGCATTGTGAATCTTCACTATGCGTGTTATACGTATAATGTACATATTTACTGTAGCAAACTTTATTTTCAGACAACACATGATGAATCTTTTATTCCACATTCTCAATTTCGCATCAATTAATGTTTGTTTCAAGAAATTCCCTGACTCCCTATGAAGGATTCCATTGACATAAAATAAGTCATGGGAAAGTAGGTCATAAGAAAGAAGTACACTGAGTTCCACCCATTCCAATGATGCGATTTTTGTGCTAATTTTGAATATCTTTATGGCACTTATTACAGATAGCCCAAAAATAGCCAATTGCAGAAATGTTAATTTAATGTTTTGGTCAAAGTAGATTGTGCAATCACTAAAGGGAAGTCGAGAATCTTATACCATCAATATGTTTTTATCAACTTTTTTTACCTGAAAATAAAAAGTGGTTTTCTGAACATGTTGATGTACCCGAATTCTCAGTCATAATTTAATAAATGAAATCATCGTGCTAAGTATGTGGAGTCTATATGCCTTATAATAGTACATTTACTGTAGTACATGGATTCTCTCCTTAAATTATTTCCTTATAAACATCAAATATTGATCAACAGCAGTTTCAAAATTATCGTATATTGTATTTCACCTAAGCTTTTGTAAAATATTGTATATGGTATAAGAGCTGTTGAAAATATTGTATATGGTATAAAAGTGGTGAAAAAATATTGTATATGGTATAAGAGATCTGAAAAATATTGTATATGGATTTCCAAAAGCCCCCTATACACCCCCCCCCCTTTAAGCCCTTGACTCAGTGCAATGTTGACTAAAAGATTTAATTCAACTTTTCACGAGATGCACAGCATCGAGTTTAACGTTTAGGAAATAACACCTAAGTGGAATGAATCAGCCACAGTGCATCAAGTCTTGGGCTTAAATTCTTTTCACACATTGCAAAATATTTTCTCCGAAATCATCAAACGGTACAAAATTACTAAAAGAACATATTTCCAATGACGTTTTTTTTCAAGGGTCAAGTTGGCAAAGCATTAATTTCAGTCTGTAGAGTCAAGTTGTCACCTTGACACCCTTTCGACGAATGACATTGGGTGAATTGTTGATTATGCAATGCAGTGCAGTTATATGAAATACTGTGTTTGGATTGGCTGGAATCGAACACACTTATTAATAATCTTATATATGGCAGACCATTTGAAATGAGCACGGCGCTTTTAAATGATCATTTTTGACCATATCAAACTTTGAAGGTTTATTCCATTAAGGTGTCTCACATATTCGATCAAAACTTGCCATGCAAACACGTTAGTCTACTTTACTGGCCCCTTGCTGTAACAAGGAACACAAATGAAAATTATGAAATAATTTGATTTATGAACTGAATGAAGTTAAAAGCATTGAAAAGGAGTTTGAAATTGGTGCCGTAAAGCATAAACTTGTATTGCAAATTATGGCATATAAAATTGGACAGGTCCTTTAAGTTTTATTTATCCCTCAAAGTACAGTACTCAATGCTGACCTTTAGTTAATTAAGCTTACTACAATATGCAGAGTTTTATTCATGCTTGAATGTATTTGCAGTTTACCAATTAGAAGCTTATATGTAGGTATATAGGTAATTTGTGATGAAGGCATCAGAACATAGGCACAGAATTATGTTAGAACTTCAGTTAGACTAGCTAGAGCCAGCAAACAATCAAGCTGCATTGCAAAAACCCACCTACCCAGCCCCTATCACCTCATCAGGTTTAGTATGAAACACAATTGACCAGCATTTATTGTAAGTATGTTAAGAATTTACCTTTTAAATAACTTATTTCAACCTTATTTTAAGGAATTAGCTATTATAGGCTAATTAAAGTTGCCTAATTAGCTTAATTAGGTGGATTTGCTTAATTAGCTAATCCTATTATATTTATTCATTCATTGCTTTTGCGGCACCTTTGCAGACTCCTTTCGCCAAAAATAGTAATATTTGAATGAAGCCGAATAAAACACATTAAAACGTAAACATAAACCAATTAGTCACTTCACTATGAAAGTGAGGGGTGTTAGCAAATATGTATTAGCAGAATACGCTGTGTGCATGGACTAACACAATATCAGTGGTCATTTACTGTTTCAACTTATTAACCCTTGCATATCGTGCTCACTCAAGTATCACCATTGGTATACGCAGCTAACGAAAATTGACCGGTACGGGTCAAAAGCTGGACCGGTACGGGTTAACGGTTTTATTTGAATTTAAAACAGCCATAACTTGCTCAATATTGACTTCCTCGTGTCTAATTTGAAATATATGATGTCTCCCGATGCTTTTAAGTACCCCAATTTTTTACAGATTTTTTAACGGACCAAAACTCTCTAAATGCGCATTTATGCTCTTTTCTCTCGAGAACGACTGTCTCATTTTCACGATAACTTTTATTTCGCTCTTCTAACATATAAGATCTATTTTTCCCCATCAAGGTATGATGTAAATGACATGCTATTTACATCTTATGAGTTTCAATGACGCGCGTTTGATTTTATAAAAAATGCCAAACTTTGTGACAAAGAATTTCATCAGCTATTGCCCCGAACCGGTCCGTCTTCTCGCCGCAAGCAGGATGAAATTCTTTGTCACAAAGTTTGGCATTTTTTATAAACTCACAAGATGTAAATAGCATGTCATTTACATCATACCTTGATGGGGAAAAGTAGATCTTATATGTTAGAAGTACTAAATAAAAGTTATCGTGAAAATGAGACAGTCGTTCTCGAGAGAAAAGAACATAAATGCGCATTTAGAGAGTTTTGGTCCGTTTAAAAATCTGTAAAAAATTGGGGTACTTAAAAGCATCGGGAGGCATCATATATTTCAAATTAGACACGAGGAAATCAATATTGAGCAAGTTATGGCTGTTTTAAATTCAAATAAAACCGTTAACCCGTACCGGTCCAGCTTTTGACCCGTACCGGTCAATTTTCGTTAGCTGCGTATACCAAGGGTGAAGTATTGAATAATTTTTTTATGATCTAAATGTTTGTGGTTTATAAAAAATGTGATATATTTTAGTTAGAAATACATCAATTAATATATTCATTCAAACAGCACTAGAATGCGGGAAGAAAGAGCAATGGTGACAAAATGCAGACAGAATTTTCCGTAAGGGTTTCAAACATTTCTGGACACAATCATACATGTAATTCATGTGTACTGTTATTTTTAGTGCTGTATATATAGATATAATTTCACTTCTATACATTACAAAGCGTTGCGCTTTTAAAATAACATGACACTCATTAGATATTAAAAATAGCTTTGGCTAGA